AAACCTTCGTGAATTTTCATGTTAACATCGAGGGAAATTTTATGATCCCTTTTTTGTAACCGTGTAAATAGAAAACATACACTGTTTGCCCTGATTTGTGACAAATCAACTTTTTCGGTCTTTTTACTTGAAACAAATAAGGCTTCGCAACAAAAATAATCAGAACGGCAGTACCTGTATGTGGATTTTCAGCAAACACTGTATCACCAGTTATAGCGTAACATTCAAATCACTATAAAAATTGCTATCGAGTAGTTACACTTCCGGCCTCGCATTACATGTGAGCCATTATTTACGAACTAGTTCAGGTACAACCTAATGATTAGGCAATATATAGAACTTATTATTGTTTTATAATATAATTAGTAATTTTATAATCAAGTAAATATTCGTAGTTGATTCATATTTCTATACTTGAGTCGACTATTATCAAAGCCGGCAATGTGACTTTTGGACAATTATTGGTAAATCAGAAAAACGAATTATTGACTTTGTATTCCATTGGCAGTCACAAAACTCTTCTGAACGACATCTTAGATAAATAACAGGTTAAGTATTAACCTTTATTTAATGCAGGTTTTGAAACGTATTCTTTGAAGGAGACGATTATATTCAAATCAATCTGTATTAACATATCAATAACATTTTTTGTCCAAATGCACAGATTGCCACCTTTGATAATAGACGACTCACTTATAATATATTATTGGCGCCTTCCACTTGACAGCTTCCGGCGTAATAAACCTTCAATGTTATTTATGTTATATAATTCGATATTATTAAATAATAATTGTACGTAAATAATCAACAGAATAATTATGTTAAACAATGTTTAATAATACCTATTAACTTTGTATTAAAATAGGTCAAGATGATTGTATAAATACCGGCGGTTAGCATATTTCTGTTCGTTCGTATTCTACCCGTCCTAACGTGTATTAAAGAGAATATATTATTATTATTTCGTGTAAAGTGTCTCAATTGTCGTCGCCACCCTGATAATCCTTCTACATAATACATATTACTGGTGGTAGGACTTCTTGTGAGTCCGTGCCGGTAGGTACCACCACCCGGCCTATTTCTGCCGTGAAGCAGTAATGTGTTTCGGTATGAAGGGTAGGAGCCGTTGTAACTATACTTGAGACCTAAGAACTGACATCTCAAGGTGGGTGGTGCATTTACGTTGTAGATATCTATGGGCTCCAGTAACCACTTAACACCAGGTGGGCTGTGAGCTCGTCCACCCATCTAAGCAATAAAAAAAGGAAAAAATAAATAAATAAGTAGTGGTTGGTAATTGCTTATACCGTAGTTACGATGGGAAAAATGAAAAATACAAAAAAACAGTTGCATTGAGAACCTTATTTTTTGAAGTCGATCAAAAAACAAAAATCCTCAAATCAATAAACCAATTTCTCGCATACACGATATTCGACACAACAACAAAATAAAAAATTGCGTGACATTGACCTATTTTTCCCACTGCATAATATATATCTAACTTAGAGCGGATATTTTTCGATCATGCCCTAGCTAATTACGCACTCTTACGGGCTGGTTAAAACTTAATGTAACAAACTTAATGTAAGTTTGGTAACTCTATTGATAACTATCTTTTGAGTGATAAATTTATCAGGCGTGTGAAAACAAGGTGATAATATACTGCGATACAACTGAACTGGTTCAACGTAATTGATTAATTATGTTTGGATTAAGTTACTGACGGAGCGTGTTACATAATCTTACTTGATTATGTTGTTCTTCTTCAAAGTTGTTGATCGAGTTAAATTGTGTGGAAGCATCGTTTGATCAGGTTTAGTTTCAATAGAAAAATAATATTTTCTAGAAAATTACTCTCTGTTTTGTGATGACAATGTGGTAGATAGTATAGCTAGCCTGCACAAATCGGTGGCTTCGACAAGTAAAAGCCACCATCCCGACTATTTCTGCAGTGAAGCAGTCATTTGTAGAACGGTATTGCCGCTATTCAATACGGCCGGGAATTTTCATGTTTGTAGGTAAGCGCATTCACTTTTTGATGTCTATAGCCTCTTAACAGCTTAAAACCAAGTGGATCGTGAGCTCCCTTGCCTATCTAGAAAGCAATTAAATACAAAGTAAAAAAAACTACTATTCTACTAGGGTTTTTTTTATTGCTTAGATGGGTGGATGAGCTCACAGCCCACTTGGTTTTAAGTGGTTATTGGAGCCTATAGACATCTACGACGTAAATGCACCACCCACCTTGAAATATTAGTTCTAAGGTCTCAAGTATAGTTACAACGGCTGCCCTACCCTTCAAACCGAAACCCATTACTGCTTCACGGCAGAAATAGGCAGGGTGGTGGTACCTAACCGCGTGGACTCGCAAGAGGTCCTACCACTAGTGATGTAGGACCAGGGTATAGGAATTTGTTACTAACTCACTAGAAATAAAATACTTTTTACTTGCGTGAGCAAATATTTTTAATACATTTATGTAATGTATGTAATATGAAATATTAACATTGGAACAGTTGCTTGGCGACAAAAGTAAACCGAGCGACTGTTCCAACTAGGGCAGACTCACAAAGCGACCTACCACTTCTGACATAAAAAAAATTAAGAAGAAAGAAAGAAAAACTTAAAAAGAATTTAATAAAACTTCCCGTTTATATGTTAAACTTATGAGATGGCCTGCCCATTTTTTTTTACACAAGAACTGTTTTGAAATGCGGAAAGAAACGTCGTCTGCATTTGTGACACAAAATTAAAATGGGTCGTCATGATTTACGAACGCTGAATATTTTGCGAAAACTGAGGGTAGTAAGTTGAATTAATGAGCCGATTCCGAATGAGATTTTAAGATGAAAGTGTGGTTTACTTTATACACTAAATAAGATGAAGGTTTTTTTTTTTTATTGCCTAAATGGATGGCCGAGCTCACAGCCCACCTGGTGTTAAGTGGTCACTGGAGCCCATAGACATCTACAACATAAATGCACTACCTACCTTGAGATATAAGTTCTAAGGTCTCAGTATAGTTACAAGGCCTACCCCACCCTTCAAACCGAAACGCATTACTACTGGTACCCGGGCGGACTCACACGAGATTCCACCACTAGTAAAATTTCGCAAATTATAATTTTACGGGTTTGATTTTTATTCTTTCATCGTGGAAGTCAATCGTGAACTTTTGTTAATTACATATTTCATTAGAAAAATTGGTACCCGCCTGTGGGATTCGAACACCGTTGCATCGCTAGATACGAATGCACAAGATGTCTTATCTTTTAGGCCACGACGACTTCAAACTTATTCAAACTAATTCTTTAAACTAATAACAATAAAATATCTCTCGGGGCCGCAAAAATTTTTGATTTTTTTTATATAGAGATCGGCAGATAAGTTCACGAATTATCTCGTACTACCTTTACCAATAGTCATTATAATATGAGTACTATCTCTTACTTTGAGACATCAGCTCAATATCTCTGCCGCTTTGCGACAGAAAAAGGGAAAATAGTGTTATTATTCACAATATGCCCAACTGCAACCAACGTTAGTTGACACATCTTCATGAAACACGTATTTTTTTTTTATTGCTTAGATGGGTGGACGAGCTCACAGCCCACCTGGTGTTACTGGAGCCCATAGACATCTACAACGTAAATGCGCCACCCATCTTGGGTAGTTATTCAGAATTAATATGTACATATAATCGATATGTCAGAATCATATCGCCGGGACAGCGAAAAATTTACCTAGACCCCAACAGCTAAATATTTTGAACCAAAAGACCTAATCTAACATTGGTGAGTCTGCTGGTTAAATAGTTCCTAACCACTGTATGAACGATAGCAATGTAATAATCGTTTATATTTTTATTATCGTTGTCGAGAAGGGGAGACGCGTTCTTTGTGCTTAGTGCGAGTTTTTTAACGTTCTCGATAACGTAAAAGTTAACTCATAATTTGTATGGAATGGAATCGTTTGCCTACGTTTGTCACTAGGGGCGCTGTTCCAAGTGCATACAAAATTGGGTTAACTTTTACGCTGTCGAGAACGTTAAAACACTCTCACTAAGCACACTGATCCTGTTTGGTTCAAAGTTATTACTACCCGTAGATTCTAAAGCGTCAATACCACTCAGTTCAAGACAAAAGGTCGCAGTCTCTCAAATTCTATCGCACATTCACTGTTGTAAGTCGTTAAATACGATACCGCTGTCAACGAATTTATATAGTTAAATTGGGAATGATTCTAAGCATACCTACCCGCCTTGTCGCTTGATAGAATTTCATTAATATGTATTTACTGTGAAACATGTGCTTATTCCTATTGAAACTTAACAGACTATAGATACAACTTTTTTGGGAGTTCCAACACAAAAATAGTCTTTCTCCTGTAATATGCTTAGAGTTGCTTTTTAATAGCCAGATAAATCTTGGAAAAAGAAAAACCATTATAGCAATTTATATTCTAGCCAAAAAGAACAAAAACGTGTTAATTCTTAATGCTGCAAATTAACATACGTACAATAGCGTGTTTGACTCGTTATGAGGTCTACAAAATGTACTAAAATTTCAAACCCGCACTTAAATAATTTCAAACGATATAAACAATTAAAAGATTTGTAGACGAGCTCACAGCTCACCTGGTGTTAAGTGGTTACCGGAGCCCATAGACATCTACAACGTAAATGGCGCCACCCACGTTGAGATATGAGTTCTAAGGTCTCAGTATTATTACAACGGCTGCCCCACCCTTCAAACCGAAACGCGTTACCACTTCACGGCAGAAATATGTACCTACCCGTGCGGGCTCACAAGAGATCCTACCGCCAGTATAATGTATGTATCCATGTAACCGCAGGATAACATAATATTACTTATTAAGCTTTCATAATTAATCGTGTTATAATTTATTCGACGGATAATGTTTACCTTAACAATCAGCCCAGAACTTTAATCAAGTTCTGTTTGATATAATCAAGGTCTCATTTCTCTTCTTTGTTCCAGGTGAGACGCGAGGGTGATGCATCGCCTGTGATGTCTCTAATATGCAGTGGGACGGACTCTACTTCGTGATTCTAGCATTATGTTGTCTGCACACTGCATCTGGTAATTAATTTATCGACTAACAGAACACAGAATGTGGGGTATCGTTTCAATACTAAGACGTTTTTTTCCTTACCTATTCTTTGGCTTCCTAAAGGGCTATTCCGACTACGCGCGGACGGGAATTTGTTAACTTTGAAAGAGCATTCCACGCTGTCATTTATACGCGCTCTGGCAATCATTTTACTGGTGGTAGAACCTCTTGTGAGTCTGCACGAGTAGGTACCACCACCCTGCCTATTTCTGCCGTGAAGCAGTAATGCGTTTCGGTTTGAAGGGTGGGGCAACCGTTGTAACTATACTTGAGACCTTAGAACTTATATCTCAAGGTGGGTGGCGCATTTACGTCGTTGATGTCTATGGGCTCCAGTAACCGCTTAAGACCAGGTGGGCTGTGAGCTCGTTCATCCATCTAAGCAACAAAAAAAAAAACTCTGGCAATCATAAAACATCAGCCACGCCGAGGTCTATTCGTTCGTCGAGTGTAACTTAATGAATATGGAAGCTGCTCGTGAACGACCCCCTGCGATGTGGCTACTTATTTTAATTAGCTTGAATTGCGTGCTTTAAAAGCTATTAGAAATTTAGTATATTTTTTTCGTGTTTCATGAATTAGTAGCGTAATAATTCGTTTGTATCAACATGTAACCGATGTGTAAGGGATTCATAACCTTTAATTCACTGACTTGTTATAGCTGTCATAAAACTCGGGTATCATGTGTCGTGGCCTACAGGATAAGTCACCTAGTGTACTCATATGGCACGATATGCCTATCACGGCATCCAAATCCGACAGCCGTATATCTTTTTTTCTAATGAAATACGCACTTGCCACAATTAAAGCACATCAAACCAGTGGAAAATATAATTATGTAAATTTACTTTACGCATGATACCAATTCCTCAAAATTTCAAAGCGGGTAGTAGTAGTATTCACGTCTATGGGGTAAGGTAACCATTTAATACAAGGTCGGCTGTGAGCTCCTTTACTCGTCTATACATTAAAAATAAAAGCTTCTAATATAATGTAATGTCATAGGTTTAATGTCAAAACATACTCGGTTGGTGCATAGATATTAACCGAGCTAGAATGACTATAAAACTCATTCGATTTGAGCACATGTGATTTGTCTTAACGAGTGCTATTAATACTATAACTAATAGCTACATAAAGTATTTTTCTTTTCTTTTCATTTATTTTGATAGTTACTAATTCCTTATATTTTTTTTCTACCTATTCTAGTAGCCTCAAGGGGTTATTCTAGATTCACCGAACTAGTAGGTGAGCTCACGGAACCTGACGACCTTGCTAACAGAAACCCTAGCAAGAGCCGCACTTCGCAGAATCTACCACCGGATCGGAAACGCGACCCACTGAGAAGATCCGGCAAGAAACTCAGTGGGCTGTGTCTGTGGGTTAATTTACTCGCCGAGCCCTTCGTCGCAAGCGACGGGCTCGACGAGAACGATGACCGGTGCTTGAGGTCCCTAATGCTTTTAGTGGATCGGGAGGATCCGAAATGACGTGCTTATGGCTTAAGCCCAACCGTCGTCTTTTGTACTTACCCGTGACTTAGGACTCAATAGTGCAGTAGTCAATTCCCCTGAATGCTGGGCCCGAAAGCATGAGTTCGATTTTCACAACGGGCAACAAGTTTGTGTACTCTATTTACTCGTTATCTGGCCGTATAATATAATTATGTGTAACATTCTCTAGTTCCCATAATAGAGGCAGTGCTCAGGTCAAATTACCGTGTGTGACTTGCCCCGTTAATAATCTTTTTATTATTTATCAATCATTATTATATTTATTGTATGTATGGATTAAATACATTTCGTATTTTTTTTTTTCTGTGTTGCGATAAGCATTTGTATTTGTATAAGAGCTAGCAAGTTTCTTGGCGATTCTTTTCAGTACTGAAACTACATTCGGGTTCGGTGGTAATGTCATGATAGTTTAAAGCGTTGTACGGAACAGGACTATTTCAATTAAAAAAAAAACGTTCGTATTTTTATTTCGTAAACAAATATCGCGTTTCACACGTATGACTACACGAAGAAAAAGGTATTTGACCAGTATCACAGCTGCTTTAGAAAGCGGGACATACATAATATTTTTAAATTATAATAATAGTGAGGCAATAATATATTACATAACAATTATCTGATATTCATCAAAGTTAAAACAAAAATACTATAACGCTATTCTTCCATTTGAAATTTATATTCGAATAATTCATTAGACTGAATTGAATTTATACGTTCAAATTTATTGTACATTAAAAGTATATTCATGAAATCGTGGATGCATAAAATTTTTGGTTAAAATGAACAGGCCCAAATATTGTGTCGAACAAAAGTTGCTACACACAATTTCTGTGTAGAGATACATAAAAATTTGCTAATATATCGACGCTTGAAAGGCAAACATGACTAAGCTACAATAACTGTTTTGTACATAAATGATAGGCAATAACCATTATCGATGCGCAAAAAAAATATATTTCTAGGTCTATTAAAATCATTTGAATCCTACAGCTACTAACTAGATTCTACTGCAGCTAGATTCTTTAAAATAAATTTCGTTTTCAGGTATTTCAACTTTAAATTAGCCTACTGTAAAGTTCACGCATTGTCGCTTACTCACGTTTGCCTTTCAAGCGTCGATATGTTACGATTTTTTAGATATATTTATTAGGATTACTTATGCGATAAGTTATAGCCTATAATATAGTATATATTAACTGATTTCTAACACTAACATTGACTCATTTTATTGTTTTGTAAATTAAAGAGAAGAAATTGTTTGATTACATTGTTATTTGTCATCAGGCTTATCATGTTGACACGTCTTTGGACAATTCACTAACATTGTTACGGACAATGACAGCTACAATATTGACGACTCAATTACAAAACCCACACGTATGGAAATGTAGGCTGCTAAAAATTTGCATTTACCCGAATTGCAATTTAACACAAAACCTTTTATCAGCTTGTATGATGTCTATCGGAAGCAACTAGGGAAGTTCATAGACAATAGACGCTCGTAGTGCAATGATATTTGAACTGGGACACTGAAACGTTTGATTGCATCACTACACGGGTTATTATATACGGGCTCACAACACTACTAGTAAAATCTATAGTTCTAGATGTATCTGCTAGGTCTATAGAAATTCCAGGTAGAAATGTAACTAAAAACATAAACAAATTTAAGTGAAATTGTTATATCTTTCTATTGGTAACTATTTGTGCAGTTACTAGCATTTATTTATTTTGTTTAAAACAGAACTATTTCATGTACAATTAGACACTATTTGATATATTGATACTTTTACTTCTTCTACGATATATTTATGTTTATCTAAAAATTGATCAAACGACATGATCATCTCAGGATTTGTTAAGAATCGCGTCATCAATCTTGCAGTAGCAAGGATTCGGTAAGTTCTAAAGGTCGAACATTAATAATGATCTAATCGAAAGTTAATAACCTAAAACACCCTATCAATTAATGACTGAAGTTTGTTGGCAAAATTTGAAAGATTTAAGTAATCGATTTCGAAATCAATGATATTCTGAACGTACGCATTTTATCTATCTCTATATATAAAAATGAATTGCTGTTCGTTAATCTCGCTAAAACTCGAGAACGGCTGAACCGATTTGGCTAATTTTGGTCTTGAATTATTTGTGGAAGTCCAAAGAAGGTTTAAAAGGTAGATAAATATGAAAATGCTCGGAATTAAATAAAAATAATAATTTTGTTTTTCCCCGTCGGACGGATTCCTTTTGTTTGTTTTAAGTTTATTTTATCGATTAAAATAAATATCAGTCAATTTTTAACTGATGCCAACAAAGGAGGAATTATGTGCTCGACTATAAATATTTTAATATTTGAAAGGGCGTACTGTCGAATTAGTTCAATTGTTGAGTTTAATCAAAGTATTAGTGTCAGTCAGTTTTATTCAGTCTTAAAATCTGAAATACATTTACAGTCTCTAAAATACATTTTCCATTTTATATTTGATATTTTACATAATTTGATAATTATCTCAAAGGTAAAATGCTGACAGATTTTCGATAACTTAGACAAACCACGAGGCTGTCATAGTAAATTCAAATTTTATTTTTAGGTGAGTAAATTCCGATAAACGCTATTTACGGAAAAGATAATTTTATTAAAGATCAATTTGAAATAATCTTCGTATGCTGGTTATTCTATAATTCTAGGCCAAAATAATAAAATTATTTTATTGCCGTCGGCTCTCGATACGTGCGCATTTTCTACTTAATGTTCATGTAGTTGGTGAAAATTAAATTAAAAAACTCTATCCCATACATAAATAGAGCTTCATTTAATAATAAAAGCGTGCTAAAACCGTGATAATTATCATTTTTATTAATATTAGTTATACACGCCACTTATCATGAGCACAATTACATAACTAGTGCATTAAAAAAACTAACACCGAACTTCAGTAGTCATCGTGGCCTAAAGGATAAGACGTCCGGTGCATTCGTATATATCTAACTTCGTATCTAGATTCGAGGTTGTAGATTTCTATGGGCTCCAGTAACCACTTAACACCAGGTGGGCTGTGAGCTCGTCCATCCATCTAAGCAATAAAAAAAAACTTACATTTTGTGGGTTACATTTTTATTACACAATTTTATTCATTCATCGTCGAACTCACTAAACTTGTGAAAGCATTTACATAGAAAATGTTTATTTGCCTATTTGATTTGAACCATAATTGTCGTGTGGCAATGCGACAACATTCCGGATGAAATGAATTACTAAATACTTCTCTATGTACGTGCTCGATATCAAATATAATCAACTGCATTAATCTGAACACATACTTCATATTTTTTTCCAAAAAAAAACACATCTACTCATTTGCCTAATGTGGTCTATTGATTTTATATTTTTAAAAAATTGCCACGTATATATGTGTTAATATGTGTAGTGTCAAAATTAATAAAACAATGTTAGTTCAAACATAGGTAATTGGAAACCACATTCACAACCATCACATACAAAAAAACACAGCTGAAATACGAGTATAGCTTTGCTATATATTTATGTGTAAAACACATAAATTAGTTAAACAACCGAACTACTAAACTATATTTTGTCACTTTTGACCTACATATAAGTGAAGCAAAAACTTTGTACTCCTTTTTACGAAAAATGCGCGGACGGAGGAGTATGAAATTTCCCACACTTATAGAGAATACACGAGTATAGAAGGAGTGCAGAACGCTAATATTTTTTAAAATTTATGCATTAATATATTAAATCAATAAAAAAACATTACGCACACTACCAAGTATTTGACACAGATACACACACACACACACACACACACACTATATATTTTTTATTTATTGTCAAACTTGTTATTGCTTAATGTCTGTGGTCATATTGCGAATAGGTTAATATTGTTTATTTATCTATATTTGTCTACAGTGTAGTCTTGGTGAAATCTGTGATTATAGAAGTATAATAAGTCTATGACAATAGAACCTTAATAATGTTCAAACTTACAATTTCAATTAATTATTGTCGAATTTCGACTACTGCGGGACCATTGTGATAAATATGCTTACTCTTGTAGAGCCATTGCGGTTCCCAGAAGACTACAGAACGAATGGTGTCCGTAGACGTAGAAGCGAGGAAAAGGACAGCCTCGCACTTTCAAGAGAAATATTTAAAAACATCACGAAACAGCTTCGGGAGAACATCAAGCGAGAAGGGGCGACTGACAAGACCGATCATTTGTTACAGAGTAAGTATCGATTTGTGTGTGTGACTGTAATACAGTTCGATTGCGATGCTATGGATAGCGTTATTCATTAGCATATGACGATCTGAAGACATCATACGTGACAGAATTCATGAATTCTTCTTAAATATTCACCCTGTACTTTGGTCGTTTATTCAGTGAATTGGCAACTCAATTTTATTGAATAAAGTTATTATTCGATATTATCGACGACCGTCTGGTGTAATGGTAAGTGACATGGTCATTACACAAGGGGGTCGCGGGTTCGAATCCCGCCAAGGGAAGATATTTGAATGATAAATATAAATATTTTCCTGGGTTATCGATGTATATTAAATATATGTATGTGTATAATAAAAATCTTACATTTATTTCCGTTATCTGGTACTTGTAACACAAGTTCTTTACGAACTTAGCACGGGACCAGTTAACGTGGCGTGATTGTTAGTAAATATTTATTATTTATTTATTTATTCGGCTCTAAGTTTATGATGCTAATGACTATGGTTGAAGTATTCATTGGACATCACAGTATTTAAAGAATTTTGTTAACATATTTTAACGACGATGACTTTTCAAGTTATGTGTTATGCACAGTATAGAATGATAAACGCTAAATAATAAAATACTATTCTCAATTACTTTACACAAAACCTGGATAATAGCCTGACTATTTGATGTATGAAATATCTTCAAAGTTAATTATTATGAAATAGCTGGTAATATAGAAACATCTTAAAATTAACGATTCTGTACTCTCATACTTTAACAAATGAAAGATGAATGCCACGCACATTTATCTAAACCGAAAGAACAGTAATATAACACAAAAGCCATGCTTTTCCCTCTTTTATAGATATTCAATGACACGAGAATTGGTATGACTCATTGATTACACATTTTCGTATTCTGACAGCTAATTTCTGTGAGTGCTCAATAAATGTTTAATACCTAATAATGTATCGTACTAACGGGCTCCGATCCACTACAGTTTAGCACAATCGTTCTTTTATAGGTCTCAATTATTGTTCTCGACAAACACAAATTACCGTCCATTATGGTCACGCAAAACCGTTAAGTTCTCACAAAAGATAAATCAACATAATTACAAACTTGTCGTTAGTGTTTTACTGATTTTCACTAAAGAAAACTATTTACACGATTACTTAATCACAAAATCCGTAGAACATATTATAATTTTGCATTATGTCCATTTACTAATAATACATAGTGTTCGATCATAAGCATCGAGACCGGAGGATATGGAATAATTTTATGTGATACACATATTATTTTATTTATCATTAACGCTTTTTCTTGTTAATTAGAAAAAATACTGTTTTCAAAATATTTTGTTGATAGCACTGAGGTTTGTTAATAGCTATAAAATCCAAAAAATTAAAACTTAATAGAAAAAGTTACTAAGCTGTTTTGTCTTTCCCTAGAAAAGCAATATACATGTATGTACATATAACTATATAATTTATACGTATAATAATTAAGAAATGCACTTTATCGTTTTTTTTTGTGGCTCATGCAGGGTCTATTTGAATCTTTTTTGAAAATCAATATGGAATTAGAACTGGGAATTTTGATCGTGATTTATAATCTCGCTCTCAAATTTAAATTATTTTTATATTATTATCGCATACAATGTAAATATTGCAGTTTTATTTCAAGAAATCTGACAGGAATTGATAGATTTAATTTAAGCTTTAAATAATCTATATTTGGTGAATTATTTCTTTGTGATTTTTTTTTCGAAAACTTCAGAAACATGTCGTTTAGGCTTGCAAAGAGTTCTGAAATTGAGTAATAGACTTTTAGCTATTGTCTTAACAGTTTCTATAAACATCTACTTCTTGATTACCTTTCTTTAAGATAATAAGAGTCTACTGTGATTAATTAGAATATTACCTTTTAGATAGGTTTTCAGACAATCTTAAGATAGGTCAAACATTTTAAAGGAAAACTTTATTAGGAGCACCGTACTTAAACTGAAAATTTCCTTTGCCGAATTTATAGTACTATCAACAGTAAAATAATTTGCTACGAAATTTAAGGAGATAACATTTTACTAGCGCACAGTAAATTTGCTCGTAAGATAACTTTAACAATTCTTATCATAAATATATTCCTCTGAGTTAATCAAATACAAAAGACTGTGCTGTTTTAACATATACAGATAAGACTCGTTAAACATCAAATTGAACGAACAAAATATAATAGCTAAAAATATCTGGATGTCACCAAAAGTTCGAATCTATTTTAGCACAAATGTATTCAGCTAACGACCGGTATTAATAGCAACAACTTTAACTTATTTACTTATTATAAGAGGGTACTTTCTGTTTTTGAGTGAAGTTTTGCTGTGGTCATTACTACTTTAATTAACAATTTACGAAACTTTATTTAGCTTTAACATGGTCACAGTTTTGGGCTACATTAAAATTTTATTGTAACAAAATATTTATTAATTGAACAACAGCTGAAACTGAAAATTTTCGAGATAATCCCTTCATGGGATTTTTACTATTTCACTCTACGTATCCAGAGCAAGGGTTCATTGTAAATTCGTACTATCTGTAACCACTACTTTTATCTATAATGTATATTCAGACTTTATTACCACGTACCATCCGGCTTTGCAATGAATTCCCCTTCATAATGTTTCCGGAATGCTATATATCATTCTTCAAACAAATTTTGAGCAGAGTCTGCAGTGGTAGACAACGACTTGGCTATGCCCCTAGAAATGCTGTCCATGAGCGACGGTGACCAACTACCCTCAGACGGCCTGGCGGCTTGTTGATTAATGATGATTTAAATAATATGATTGAATTATTAGCCTATGATTTTAATAATAAAAAGCAGTCGTACAGTCGCGTACAGTCGCGTATTCATCTTATGTCTCAAGGTCAAAATCCGCATAATGATGTCTATGGGCTCCGTTATCCACTTAACAACAGAAAAGCCGTGAGCGTGGCAACAAAACTATGATAGCAAAAACATGGCTACATTTTAGAAAATATCTCAAATAACTTAGTCATATAGTAATTTTCTTTATAAGAATGAATAAAATATTTTACAGCTAAGGTAGAAGACACGAGAAATTATGCTCCATATCAAAGTTACCACGATCATCACCACGAACACCACTGGGGGCCATATTTCGAGGAGGAGAAGTACACTCAAGTCACGGCTCACGTGGGAGCTGAGGCGTTGTTAAATTGCCGGGTTGTAATGCTCAAAGATAAAACAGTGAGTACTTGAATTCAATACGTGGAGTGTTTACTTACGTAAAAAATGTATGCGCTACAAGTAATTTTTATTAAATAAGATAAAATATACCTAATAAAACAGTATGAGTTACAACCATATTGTGCAAAAAAATGTTATTCAATAGATCAGTGATTGCAATACATAAACGTTACTACATCCAAAGACTGGGTTAGTTCAATGTTATATTTTTAATTTATGTCCACGGCAACAATATTTTGTATTTAAACCTCATTTTAAAAGAGTGTAAATACAAAAGACTTTAATCCTGTGCGGAAGCTCTTGATATATTTATGATCATCAAATATTTATGTTTAAAGAAACTTTTTTAGGTGATGTGGCTGCGTAACACGACCGACTCTGCGCAACTACTTACCGTTGGTCCCGCTCCATATACGGGCGATAGTCGGATCGCAGTGAAATTCCAATATCCAAACAATTGGAGGCTTAGCATGAATCCTGTGAAAAGATCTGACGCAGGGCACTATATGTGCCAAATATCCACTCATCCTCCTAGAACCATATTTACGAACCTAACCGTATTACGTAAGTGCGACAAGTTTACTTTCCCGGTTCTCAGCATTAATTGAAACGAACCAACGAGCTTTAGATACGAGGATTCCTACATTTGAAAAGGAAAAAAATCTTTCTCATTTCGCTTTCGCGCCGTTTCTTTTCTTTCTAAATTAAATATATTTCAAAGAGACTTAAAAAAAGGGATATTTTGTTCACATGTACCCGAAAATGTTGTAACCAAAAAGTTATAATCATAGTTTAGAATATTAATTTAACATAAATACATAAAACTACAATCAAAAATCCCTTAGATATCTAAAATTAGGCTAACTTTAATAATGAATAGATTACAGAATTTATGTTGCTAATTAGATAAATATACGAAGATAGTTTATTTCTAAAGATAACGTGTCTTCATTAGATTAATTGATCCACAAAATAAGTACATTAAAATCGGTTGTACTTAATTTTTGACTTTTTAATACAGGGTACAGGTACAAGTTCTAAATGCAGGGACTTATCAAATTTGTTTAGCATAAAAAATAAACTTTAAATTATACTTTTACAGCTCCAGTAATAACAATAAACGGAGACGATTCGCACGATATGAAAGATAGATTTTACAAAGCGGGTAGTGCAATAAAGCTATCTTGTATATTATCTGAAGAATATGCTTCTACACTATCCACAAGCAATCCGGTTACGACGCCAATTCCCACAACAACAACTACTTTAAGAACAACAACAACAGAACTGACAACTAAATCAAGTACTATATTTAATAGAATAGATATTATGATGAACAAAAGTTGGAGTGTCGAAACATCTACAATTACTTCGACGGTTAGTATAGGTACAACGACCAGAAAACCAGAAACGACTACGAAAGAGTTGACAACAGTTGTTCCAACCACACCGCCTACGGTGAATAATGTGTACGGAATTATGTGGAGGAAACAGGGGAAGGACTTTTTCCAAAATGTCACTTGGAGAAACTTAAGGTAAATATAAACAACTAATTTTGTAAAAATATAAATATTGGTAGTAAATATACAAATGATTCTAGAGTATTTTGTGAGCCATACAGTTTCGTAGCTATGTCTTTTCTATTACTGACGGACAACACTACTAAAAGTAATGGTTTGAGTAATGAACCATTTCTTTTTTTTTTTATATTAGACCTTGTGTCTAAAAAGGGCATCAGGAATGTAAGCAGTTAACGTAAGCTGCATTAAACATCTGAAACTGGTGAGCCTTGTGTTCGTTTCTCTATCTACGCTGAGAAAACAATTAAAAAACTCAAATCTAAGTTACCTCAGTAACCTTAAAATATTCCGATAATATTATCAAATCCAAAATAGAGATTCTGAAATATTTATTCCTGACATATTGTAATTTTTAGTGCCACAATAAGTGTAACGTCGGCATCACAAAATGACAGTGGAACCTACACATGCCTTCTACTCAATCATTCTCAAGTCACCATTAACGTTCACGTATTGATTGGTAAGCAGCTATTTTATATAAATTCTACTAAATATATTATGACCTTGGCAATTATTTTTTTTCGATTCATCAAATTCTTTTATATTTATTACAAATATAAGCAACTGTATAACATTTAAGTGGAGAAGTACCTTAAGTAGATTTGTAAATTTAATTAATAATCTACTACGATAAATCAACAACTTTAAGCATAATGTAGATAGTTGGGTCCTCTATTAGTACGAGTACAATGGAATTTTCTAAATACATTGGAAAATTTGTGTAAAATTAACAATACACGTATCTTTGTCAGGCGAGAACCAAGCTGCTGTACATCATGACACGTGGAACAAAGGAACTTTGTTTTGGCATTCGCAAGAGTTTTACCTATTTGTTCTATCAAATTTACTTGTGCTATATCTTTAAATTTTGAAAATGATTGTTAAAGTTACAGTTGATTCTCGATCTTCTTTATGCTTTATTGTTCAGAATAAATTATAATCTATTTTGTTGCTTTTGTTTAAGTATGAACTTCTAAATTGAACTAAATCAAAAATTAACAAAATTTAAGTAACAATATTTTTTGTAGACTAGTGATTACATGAATGACCATGAAATTTAGGATAAAATTATAACGAATTAATCAATAATCTGTACTGTTGAATAGCTTAATATTTTCTATCGCAAGAATGAGTATAATAAACCTACCTACATATTATACAATATATTAGTTGAAAAAAATTTCCATGAATTTTTGATTAGGCTTTATTTTAGTTAAGTTTAATTTTAATATAGAATCTTACGCGTCATCAACGTAAATTAAAAATAAAAAAAATCGTTAAAAAATTACGTAAATCACAATAAAAGCAGTCGTTATAACGAAATTGAGCATAAAGATTTTGATCAAGACAAATATTCTAATTTGATTAATTATTATTTTTGTATTCCGTGTATATAATTTATCTTTTGTAAACTAATTTAAGCAGTTCTCTATGCCAAAACCGCATACGTACACGAAGTGTATTTTAGCTTTAAGTGTAAAGTTTACCAAAATTTTATTGAAATATATTATTTAATTTTAATAAGGTAGAATGTACATATTGCATAATATGACAAAAAAATATTAAATGTTTCAATATCTTTGTGTCACTACTCAACTATTGCGTATTTAACCAAAACATTGATATGAATATTAAATTGTACAGTTTAGTAAATAGTTTCTGTGGAAGCTACACCACGAATGTTTGTTACAATGTTAAGGCATAGCCGGCCCCCAAAATAATTTATTTTACTCTTTATCAATTGAAAATAATTGGAATACCAGAACTCAGTGCAATTGATAATTAACTTAAAGTTTTGGTTTAATTTTTTTAAGTTTCTATTAAGTGGTTGCTTCTATGAATTGTATGAAAACTGCAGTTGCCTACTCTTCTAGGTAATTATTAATTACATTTTTTTTTCCTATTTTATAATTACTGCTGGGCTTTTTAATGCATAAGTAATGATCATAAAATACAAAATTACTTTTGATAATTGGTATTGATTCTCATAAAAATATATCGATGTGGAGCTATGAATTAAAGTAATTGGGAAATTGAAAGGTGAGTTGCGTTTTGTCCGACATTTTGAAACTTTCGAGTTGGATGATTATTATTTTCGATATTATTGATTTTATTATTATTATTACGGGGTAATAAAAACCATACTAGATAATATTAATATTTATCTGACTGATTCAAAAGATTATTTTTATTTACCTTACACTATTTTCTCTTTACTTTATATGATATTAACCCAAACCATATTAATTGATAAAGAGTAAATTAAATTTTATGAAACATTTTTATTTCATTACCATTTTATCTGTAAACAGAGAAAGACTAAGTTATAATCATTATAAGACTATTAATAAAGTTTAGTGTAATAAAGATTTTTTTGTTTTATTTATTCATAAAAAATACTTCATAACAAACAAGTAATAAAATATCATTAAATTGTGCATATTTCACAGGTATATAAAAATCAACAAAGTAATAAATTGATCGACGATAATTTTTTGAATATTTAATTAACATTTATTCATGAGGGACAATACATGTAAGTCAATTTATGAATTTATTAGTTGATTGTGCATATACATGAATAATAAGATTAATGTTATATTATTCCCAAAAACCATAACCATTAACATACACTTTCTCAATAGTCTGCACTAGGCGAAGCTTGTGTTTTAGAAAAAAGTGTATCTTAGAAAGAGCTTTTCCGACTTATCTCTATAAAAATTCTGATAAATATGCTATCTCACTACAGTGATATACCATCTTGTCTTAAAAGTTGAGATTTTGTTTTTCGTTAACTTTGTTAGCACAAAATTAGGGTCTAGTATTCTTTAAGCCGGAACGCAAGATTATTTCGTCTCATAAATAGGCCTTCATAATTAAACTTTAGCATCATTATGATAGTAAAAATTACGGGAGGAATTTCGCACTTATAGCCCGGCACCAGGGTCGCAAGTCCACTGGCATTCCCCAAATTCCTCTCTCAGGAGCAAAACGACGTACGTGGCATTGTGAATACATGGATTGCTAAGATATTCGTCTCATTTTGTACGTCGCTTGGCTCGTGACTTTTGATCAGTAGTCTGACTCTGACACACAATTTTCATATAAAATCTTCTGATATAAAACCAAGTCGTTGAATACCTTGGTTATTTTTTTTTTATTTAAAAAAAATCTAAAAAAATGACAAAAACAAACATGACAATGAAACTCTTTTTTCAAACAAAACTGTACGGTATACGATATTCTACGAATTACGTAATTGGATTCCAAAACCAAATTAACTCTTTGAAAATACTTGTCCCATGTAACATGATTACCGCGTACGGCAGACCTCAGAACATCACCTTGAAGAAGAAATGAGAAAGGGTGCCAGCGATGCAGAAAATCAATTATACAGCTGACATCTAAGGAAAATAAAGGATCCTATTTGATGTTTTAAACGGATTGTACAATTTTTTGTATTTTTGTACGATGAACGATTTTTAAGGATTTTTTTTATTGCATCACATATTTGCAACGGGCTTACGGTTCAGCTGGTGTTTATAATGCTGAAAATGGTAATCTCACTTGCATTACATCACGGCTATCTCACTCCTTAAACAGAATCCCTCAACTGCTTCTCTGTAGAAATAGTCAAAATGGTATTCGGTACCTGTTTGTTGTCTCAAAACAAATTGTTGCGAAAAAAATTCTAGTTATTTTTTATTGCTCTAGCAGTTGTCTCAAAACAAATTGTTGCGAAAAAAATTCTAGTTATTTTTTATTGCTTAAATGGATGGACGAGCTCACGGCCCACCTGGTGTTAAGTGGTTACCGGAGCCCATCTATAACGTAATTACCGCCACCCACCTTGAGACATGACTTTTAACAGTACAACGGCTGTCCCACCCTTCAAACCGAATCGCATTACTGCTTCACGACCAAAATAGGTAAGGTGGAGGTACCTTGCCTTGCGGACACACAAGACGTCCTACCACCAGTAATTACGCAGATTATAATTTTGCGGGTTTAATTTTTATTACACGAAGTTATTCCTTCACCGTGTAAGTCAATCGTGAACATTTGTTGAGTAATTCATTAAAAAAATTAGTACCCGCCTGGGATTCGAACACCGGTGCATTGCTCAACACGAATGCACCGGACGTCTTATAACTGAGGCCACGACGACTTCAAACAACCTATTATCATACCTACTCTGGCTACTCTAGCTCCTACTAATTTTCAATGTAAATTATGTTATGATGTACAATATTCTCCATAGTCTACTAATAACACTAATTTCCTTAAAATATAAAACAACATAACATAGGTATTGTTCAATCCAACATTATCTTTTATGTTCAGGATACTATAGTATGCAATAATATATAATAATATGTATATGTGAGTGTATCCGGAATATAAAAGGTGCTAAGGAACAGCAGGGATTATTTTCAAAGCAGATCATTCTATCTTCAAAGGCCGACATCTTAAGAAGTAGCAATGTTTCTTCATAAAGTTGTATCCTTAGGGTAAATCTCTCGCCGATCACACGCCCGCGCCCAGGTACGTTTGTAGAGGACTTAACACTAACGGCCTCACATAAAAAAGGTCGCCTTACTCACATCCGTGCGATATCGAAAGGACCTTTCGGCTTTCGCTTTTATTCCTATCAATAAAATACGACTTATGATGGAGTTGATGACCTTTATTAGTTTTGTATTTATTTACAAACGGAAATATTATTTCCTTTTAAAGTTTAAATAAGTTTTCTTTTTTTCTTTTACTTATTGCCTAAGCAAACGAGCATCCGGTCCACCTGATGATGAGCGGCTACCGGTATTCATGGAAGTCAGCAATGCCAGGGACACAGCCAAATGGGATAATCAAGACTAAAAGTTACTTTATTAAGCAGATTACATTAACATTGACAAGTGTTTTGTTTTGGATTTTATATCAGTTGACAAGATCATAAACGCCCGATTGTCAGAGCCCGTGAATATCTCTTATCTTAAGACTCTTAACATCGCTATAAACTTTACGGGAAATAAAAAATAATAATTTGAAACAATTCTGTCGTTTATTTGGCTTTTAAGCCTTCCAAAAATCTATCATCATATTATTATGACTATCAAAAACATAGGGACTTATAATAATGTAATATTTCTTTACGGTAATCTGTAAAGAAAATGATATATGTATTCCCTATGCTGGTATTATTAGCTAGCGAGAACCGTGCTTCGCAGAATTAACTTCGTATAGGAAACGCGATCCACTGAGAAGATCCGGCGAGAAACTCAGTGAGCTAGATACATATAATACAATACTGTTTGGCTATATAACAAATTCGGTGACGTATCTATGTACTACAACTAGCGTAGACATGTCCGCCTACGCATGCTCTACGTATATAACGTAGCACGAATGCTACGCCTACACGTTTCTTAGAGAAGTTACTTGCTCAGTTCGATATTAATTAACCACAGCTCTCAAATTAAACCACTGATTAAGACTTATCAATGATCAATCGTTTGATTCGTAAATATGTGAAGAATATAAAATGACAATGAACAAGTTTTTTTGTATGGAATAAGACAATAATTAAATACCGCTGAAACATTAAGTACATTTTTTTGCTTGAATATAGGTTTTTTTTTATTGCTTAGATGGGTCGACGAGCTCACAGCCCATCTGGTATTAAGTGGTTACTGGACCCCATAGACATCTACAACGTAAATGCGCCACCCACCTTGAGATATAAATTCTAAGATCTCAGTATAGTGACAACGACCCTTCAAACCGAAACGCATTACTGCTTCACGGCAGAAATAGGTATGGCGGTGGTACCTACCCGCGCGGACTCACAAGCACGCAATGCAAACATGC